AGGTTGAAGCCAGGAGCCTGGAACTCCATCTATGTCTCCCACATGGGCGGCAAGGACTCAAACACTTGGGCCATGCTCTGCTGTCTTCCTAGGTTTATTAGCAGGGAGTGGATTGGAAGTGGAGCAACCAGGACTCGAACCAGCGCTTGGTTATGGGAGGCTGACGTAGCAAGCAGTGGCTTAACTGTGCCACAATGCTTTTCACACTGGGGTGGGGGTGTTCCATGCCTTGGAGACACACCTGATACTAGAAGACAGCACAACCAAAGGGGAAGCAATGAGTCCACCGTTCAAGGGGCCACCCCTGCGGAAGCCACCATCCTGGCAAACTGCTGGGACCAGCCTGTAAAAGTGGGCGCTGAGGCCCTGTGAGTGAGAAAGCTGGAACCGAGAGAGGGCAAGAGACCGGCCTGTCACCCAGCAGTGGCAGAGGAGTGCCGCCTCCCGGCTTACGGAACTGTGCTGCATCAACCCTGAACACAGACACTTCGCTCTCCAGGTGCGTGAGTTCTACAGCTGGAGGCTGCAGTGGGCAGCGGGCAGGTGCTGCTCAGACCCCACCTTGCAGAACCAAGGCACAGGGTAGGGGACACGGCTCCAGGGGCTCTGGGTTCTAATCCTGGCTCAGGTGCTTGCTTATGTGTGACCAAGTGGACCTCGTGTGAGCCTCAGTTTCCCCCTCTGTAAAAGGGGACAGCAGGTTCCTCTGTCACAGGAATTCTGCGAGGCCTCTGTGGGGGCGAACTGGGGAAGCTGGGGGCCTGGAGAGGGCTTCATGGTGACATGCCTGTCGCTCCTCTGTGGGCCTGGTGTTCTGGCAACATCCTGGTCATTCAGGTAGGACCCCAGGGCCTGGCTGCAGACTGCTTAGCACCATCGCCTTGGCCCTACCACCAGGTACACTCAAGCACCCTGGCACCTCTGTCTACTACCTGGGAGTTCACACTCAGTCAGACAAAGGCCCAGGCCGAGGGAAGCCAGGCTCAGTGCTTAGGGCTCTAGCATCTGTCCATGGGACTCATCCTGGGTGTTGGTGTGTGGGCAGTGTCCAGCTACACAGTCTGATGCCCCCTCCCTCACTCCTGCTCACCCCCAGGCCTCTGTGAGTGCTGTCCCCTCCTCCTAGGGTCTCTTCCCCCACAGTCAGACCCAGACTAAGCAGCCTTCAGACACAGCTCCATGAAGCTACTGCAGGTGCCTCCAGGGCTCCTGGAATGATAACCTCCGCTCCTGTTCCAAATGCACATATAATTGCACACGCACCTCAAACTAAGATGCAATTAAGGCATGTTTACACCTTCAGAAGACCAAAGAGCTAAGTGACCTGGGCGCTTCCTTCCGGGGGCTTAGCTTCCGCCTCTTAGGATGATGGCTGCAGATTGTACTGCTGTGCACGCAGTCACAGACATCCAATAGTGCCAACTCTGGGGTCTTGGCCGAGGGCTCCTGCCGTAGGTGGCAGTCAGAAGGCCTCTTCTGCAGTGCGTGTTTTGTACTGGCTCGCATGTCCACGTGCCTCACTGGAGGGCCGGGGTCAATGCCTGGCTCCTGCTCCTGTCCACGCACTCTGGAGGGCCAAGTAAATGGGGCTTGGGGTTGGTGCCATGGGATGGCATGTGAGGCCTCAGCCTGCAGTGCTGGCTCTTTATAGGGGTACAGGTTCACGTCCCGGCTGCTTCACTTCTGATCCAGCTCCCTGCTAATGCACCTGGGAAAGCAGCAGAGGATGGCCCATGTCTTGGGGACTCTGCACCCACGTAGGAGACCCAGAAGAAGCTCCTGGTTCCGGACAGGTCCAGTTCCAGGTGCTGTAGCCATTTGGGAGTGAACCACTAGATGGATGATCTCTCTAGCTCTCCTTTCTTTCTAAGTCTGCCTTTTGAAATAAAGAAAATAAAACTTTTTAATTTTTATTGGAAAGGCAGATATACAGAGAAGAGAAAAGACAGAAAAGATCTCTTGTCCAATGGTTCACTCCCCAAGTGACCGTAATGGCTGGACCTGAGTCAATCTGAAGCCATGAGCCAGGAGCTCTTCCAGGTCTCCCATGTGGGTGCAGGGTCCCAAGGCTTTGGGCCATTCTTGACTGCTTTCCCAGGCCACAAGCAGGAAGCTGGATGGGAAGTGGGGCTGCTGGGATTAGAACCGGCGACCATATGGGATCCTGGCGCATTCAAGGTGAGGACTTAAACCACTATGCTATCACGCTGGGCCCAAGAAAATAAATCTTTAAATAAAGAAAGGTAATTAAGTTTCTGCCTAATTCCATTAGGAGCTCCTCGGCCAGCTTTGGCCATTGTGGGAGTGAACCAGTGGATGCAAGCTCTCTCCCTCTCTGCAAGTAAACAGAAGGAAGCAGGCCTTCTCCTCTCCTCCCCGCATGCCTGCCGTCTTCCCAGGACACGCTGTGCCAGGTGCTGGTCCCGTGTTTGTCAACGGCAGCCGATCATCTGACAGGCTTGTGTAGCATCTTCCTCCTGGGTGAGGCTGAAGAAAGCCCAAAGCAAAGAACACAGTGTGGGGTGGCACCCTGGCACCTGCTAAGACACTGGGAGGCTGTGTGTGACATCCATGGCCGGACAGATAAGGGACACCCCTCCACACCACTGTGTGCACCTGCGAGGTGGTGAGAGGGTACCCTGTTTTAGCGCTGCAGTGGGGAGCAGGGCCCCTGCCTCCTGTGCCTGGGGATCCCCACCAAAGCCCTGCGCACTTCTGGGAAGGCGTCAGCAACGCTCTCAAGGGCGCGAGCTGAGGGACTCCGACTCCACACAGGCTCCATGAGGGAATACCTGGGAGGCTGAGGATCCGGTGGGAATCCTGCATTCAGGAGAGGCTCTCACAGCTGGAGCTGTCTCAGCAAGGTCCGGGTGGGTGGTGGTGAGGGGGCGTAGCTCCAACACAGAGGAGCGAATCTCCCAGGGCTGGCTTCCGTCTGCAGGAGCCTGGAGGTGTGGCTTCCTCCCCGCAGTCACACCTGCAGTTCCATCTCCCCGCCACTCCAGCCCCTTTTTAAGCTCAAACATTCCTGGGCCCCCCACCCCTTGGAGTTTAACCCCGGCAGCCAAGCCCCCACGTCCTTATATGCATTCCCGCCCTGATTCCTCCACCCTGGGGCCCAGAGAACCTCTAAAGGGGCGGGCCAGGCCAGGCTGCATCCCCAACACACCCTACCACTGCTCCCGGCGCGGGTGCCTCGGGATCACTCTTGCCGACCCTCTGGCCTCAGCTCGCACCCCCCGGGGACCAGCCGCACACCTTCTCGCCTTGCCCGCACAGGCCACTCACCGGCTAACCTCAAGGAGTTGGCGCTTCTGTTCCCTCCCCCTCTGCTTCTGTCCTTGTCGTTCAGATTTCAGCTTCCCTGTGCCCACTGGCTCTGATGTGAGCCAGCCAGCAGCCAGCACTCGCACGCAGTCTCCCTCACAGCTGCTTGGTGTGGTCACCGGCTGCCCTCCACCCCCCGGGGTGGGCAGTGGCTACGGCCATCGGGTCGCGCAGAGGCCCCCGCGGCGGGGCTGGAGCAGGCCTGGCGGGAGGTGCGGCCGCTCGGGAGGAGCCCGTGGCCCGGGCATCTGCGTGGGCGCGCGGTCCAGCCCGCGGGCAGCCGGACGTCGCGTGCGCGGGTTTTCCCTTTGCGAGCCCAGGCGAGGAACGCCCTCCCCGCTCCGCTCTCGGTCTGCGCGTCACGCACGGGCTGTGGGGGGGACCTGAGAACAACGATTCAGACTTGCAGGCTGCGGGCAGACCCAGGTCCCCGGGGGGCTGCCAAGGGGAAGGGTCCTGCGGCCGGCTTGGCGCCCCCGCACGCCCGCGTCCCGGACACCTTCCCCTGCCTCCCGGACGGTTCCACCTCACGAACAGCAGGTTGTCGTCCCAAATCCGGAGATTTAGCGGTCGGGAGGACAGAGGCGCAGAGCTCTCGGCACCACCCACGGCAGGCGACAGGGAGGAGCGTGCGCCCCGCGCTCCAGGACGCGGCCAGCAAGCCGGGCGCACGCACCGTACCCGCACGTCCGGACTAGGAGCGCACGCCGGGGCGGAGGAGCCCAGGGGTGGCGAGAGGGACAAAGGGCGGCCCTGCCGCGGGGGAGAGCGACCCCCGTGTGTCGGAGCCCTATTGTTCGTCCAGTCTGCTGCCGGGCTGAACTCCGGCGACTCCGGAGGGAGAGGGGGAGCCGTCGCCCGGATGGCAGGGATTTGTTTATTAGGGCGGAGGGAGGGAGGGAAGCAGGGCGGGCGGGCGGCGGCGAGGGCCCCGGAGGGGGCCCGGCTCCCCTTTCCGCGCGTCGCCTTTAAGGCAAGCCCGGCCCCACCGTTCCCACCGGCCCCCTCCCCGCAGCCGTACCTGCATTTTCAAAGCGCCCTGTAGCCCAGGGATTGGCCGAGGCCGCGTCCTCGGGCGCAGAAACTTGAACCGCGGGGAGGGGGACGTTGGAAGGTGGCGGGCGGACCGTACCAAGTTCGCGGCCTCCCCGCGCGCGCCCCGCCCCGCCCGCACACCCCCGAAGAGGCCCAATCGGGCGCGCGGGAGGGCGGGACCGCGGCTCGAACGCGCCTGTGGCCGGGCGCCGGGCGGGCGGGCGCACCGCGCCGAGGGGTGGGGGCAACGCCGCAGCCGCCGCGCCTCGCCTCCCCCGTCCCCGCCGCCGCCTGGCTCCCCGGAGGCGGGACCGCGCCGCGGCGCCCCGCCTGCTCCCCGCCCGGGGTGGGCGGGTCCGGGCCGGGACTCGGGGAGCGGGGCCGGGGGCGGGCCTCCGCCCGCTTCGCCCGAGCGCGGAGATCCCGGCCGGGCGGCCGCCGACGCAGCAGCCGTCCCCGCTCCCGAGCCCCGAGGCGCGCGGGGTGCCTGGCGGCCCAGGCGGGCGCTGCGTGAGGGCGCGGGGGGCGCGCCGCCGCCAGCCGCCCCCCGCCCGCGCGCGGACCGGCCCAGTGCAGCCGCGGCGCGGGGAGCTGCGGCCCGGCGAGGGCGAGGGCGATGCCGCGGTGACGGCCCCGCCATGGCGAAGCCCCCGGCGGCGGCGGCGGCGGCGTCGGAGGAGTTGAGCCAGGTGCCGGACGAGGAGCTGCTGCGCTGGAGCAAGGAGGAGCTGGCGCGGCGGCTGCGGCGCGCCGAGGGCGAGAAGGTGGGCCTCATGCTGGAGCACGGCGGCCTCATGCGCGACGTGAACCGGCGGCTGCAGCAGCACCTGCTGGAGATCCGCGGCCTCAAGGACGTGAACCGGCGGCTGCAGGACGACAACCAGGAGCTGCGCGAGCTCTGCTGCTTCCTCGACGACGACCGGCAGAAGGGGCGCAAGCTGGCGCGCGAGTGGCAGCGCTTCGGGCGCCACGCGGCCGGCGCCGTGTGGCACGAGGTGGCCCGCTCGCAGCAGAAGCTACGCGAGCTCGAGGCGCGCCAGGAGGCCTTGCTGCGTGAGAACCTGGAGCTTAAGGAGTTGGTGCTGCTGCTGGACGAGGAGCGCGCGGCGCTGGCGGCCGCGGGCGGCAGCGGCAGCGGCAGCGGCAGCGGCGGCGCGGGCTCCCGCAGCTCCATCGACAGCCAGGCCAGCCTGAGCGGGCCGCTCGCGGGCGGCACGGCGACCGCGGGGGCCCGCGACGTGGGCGACGGCAGCAGCACGTCCAGCGCGGGCAGCGGCGGCAGCCCGGACCACCACCATCACCACCACCACGTCCCGCCCGCGCTACTGCCCCCCGGGCCACACAAGGCCCCCGACGGCAAGGCCGGAGTCACGCGTCGCTCCCTGGACGACCTGTCGGCGCCGCCGCACCACCGCAGCATCCCCAATGGCTTGCACGGTAAGCTCCGCGCGCGACTTGGCGCCCCCGGGAGCCCCCGGGACTGGCGCTGGGCGCGCGTGCGTGGGGGCGGGGCGGCCGCCGCTCTTCTTCCCTGCTCCTCCGGCCGCCGGCCCCGCTCCCCCAACCCCTACCCGGGGGCTGGGGCCCGGGATTCCCACGGCCACCTGCCGTGCGGCTTTGGGAGGTAGCGACCGGGTCAAGTGGTGGTGGGTGTCAGGTGCCGTTGGCCCGGGTGGCAGCCCGCGCGACCGCGGCAAGTTCCTCGTGGGAAGCCGGGAAAGCACCCCCCCCCCCCCCCCCCAGCGAACACGCCACGTTCCCCTCTCCCTTGGAGCAACAGGCGCCCCTTGTGTACGGCTGGCGGGGAAGGGGCCGGCCCGCAGAGCAGGCGACCCGGAATCTTCCTGGCTGGCTGGACTGTTTTTCTCAAACCCTGCTAAGGGGAGGCCCCGGCCTGCCTCAGCTTCCTGGCTTGTACCCTGGAGGTGACGGTTCGATGTGGGCATTTCCCAGCTGCTGAGTTCCTTTACAGGAAGTGCCCGTCCTGAGTGGCGGGGGTTGTGTGGAAGGACCTTTGACCCCAGGAAAGCTCCACACCCAAGCCCAGCACCGGGGGTGTCTCCCACGGGGAGTGGTGGCCTGTGGCCGCCCAGCCCCCAGCCCCCAGCTCTGTGACTCTGCCCACCTGTTTCTTCCTGATGGTGGCTCTGCCTTTGGTTCTGGTGGCACTTAGTACTGTCTGAACTGTTTGTTTGGAAGTGGCCCATTCTGAAACACTGTATCCAAGCCTTCTCTGATCCTGGGAGGGATGTGCTGGCTCTGGTTTGGTGGCCCAGTGGCCTCTGCAGACCTGCTGGGTGCAGGGAGACCGCTGGGCAGGGGAGGGGCTGCACTGCCACAGTTTTCGCTTTCTTGACCCTGGTGTGCCCGTGGGTTCAGGGCAGGACTGCATCCAGAGTGCTATTTTGTTACCAATTAGCAATCTATGAGTACACCTCGGGTTTCTCTGTAACTCTACGCACTGCTGCAGGTCAGCTCGGAGCCAGCTGGTTCCATCTGCTGGCACTGCACCCTGCTGCTGTCAGTGCGAGACCCACCCCTCTGGTCACCCCTTCCTGGGGGGCCTCAGTTTCCCCAAGTACAATGTGATGGGAGGGGTGGCTGCTGACCTGTGGCCAGGAGATGGAACGTGTCTGGCTTTGCTGTGGCGTCACCAGTGACACTTGGCCAGAGGGACTCTGCGGGACAGCCGACTGGCAGGAAGTGTGGGACGAGGCAGCAGACACACAGCCTGGTCTGGCTCAGTGTCTCACCACCATGAATAACGCAGGAGGGGAGGACTGGGCTGGACCCAGGCTTTTCCGTGCCCCCGGGGATGAGGGGGGCAGAGGTGTCGGATTCTGCAGCCCCCCAAGTCCCAGGGCCCATTTGGAACATTTGACTGCTACAGATGAGCGTGTCTGTGGAGTGCATGTGCTGCGTTTCTATCACAAATTCCAGTTGTGGCCAGAATTGTGCTTGCTGAGTTTTGTCTCTGGAAGCCCAGCGTGGCCTTGGGATCTTTTCCACCGGTGTGCTCAGAACTGCGCCACCGCACTGTGGGTTTCTCTCTGCTGGGACCCAGTGCCCGCAGATGTGTGGAGATTGTCCGTGAGCAGAGGGAGGTGGGGAGAGGCTGCCCAGGGGGTGGCAAGGTGGAGTCAGGTTGCTGACCTGCCCCACACCCACCTCCCAGCCTCCAGCGCTGGGCCCACAGGGCTCCTCTTAGCTTATGTCATCCCATTTCCCAGGCAGGCCTGTAGCCATTCAGAGAAGTTCTGGGCCTGCCTGGGAAAGCTTCTGCCCCTGGACGAGCTATCCTGGGTGGGGTTTCCTCGTGGGCTGCGGCCGGTATCCTTGTGTGTGTATCGTCTTCCTTCCTTTTCCAAGATGTGTTTATTTGGAAGACAGAGTGATCTATTGCTGGTTCGTTGTCCAAACAGCCGCAATGAGCAGGGTTGGGCCGAGCAGGAGCCCAGAGCAACTAGCTTCTTGAGGGTCTCCCACGTAGGTGCAGGAATCCAAGCATTAAGGCCATTTTCCACTGTCTTTCCAGGCGCTTTAGCAGGGAGCTGGCTTGAAAGTGGGCAGCTGGGGCCCGGCGTGGTGGCTTAGTGACTAAATCCTTGCCAAGCATGCACTGGGATCTCATGTGTGTGACAGATCGTGTCTCAGCTGCTCTGCTTCCCATCCAGCTCCCTGCTTGTGGCCTGGGAAAGCAGTTGAGAACGGCCCAAAGCCTTGGGACTCTGCACCTGCGTGGGAGACCTGGAGGAAGCTCCTGGATTCAAGATTGGCTTGGCTCTGGTCATTGCAGCCACTTGGGGAGTGAGCCTTAGAATGGAAGATTTTTCTCTCTGCATCTTGTCTCTGTAAATCTGCCAAGAAAGTGGGCAGCCAGGTCTGGAACTAGCCCCTGTGTGGGATGCTGCAGTGCTGATCCTGGAATTGTCACACTGTGACTCCACTTGTTGATTCCTGGCTCAGGTAGATAATCCCACTTCTGTGCTCGGGCTGTGAGTCTTGGCCCCTCCCCTGAGCTCTGCCTAGCCCCTCTGGGAGGCAGGACCTTAAGTGCTCCCAGGGACCTGTGGGACTGCAGCAGGTGGGGTGGGGTCACGTGGTTGGAGACTCCTTGGAAACTTGCCAGATGGGATTGGGTTTTGTCTTCCCAACTCCACTTGCTGTTCGGGCAGCCCTCTGGGAAGTGTGTGTGCTTGCGCTGGCCACCGGTTTGCCCTCAGTGGCCTGGGGGCGGTGGCCATCAGTATTGCAGGTGGCCCTTGGCCTGACGGGCCCGAGCATGCTTCTGCAAATCTGTTTACTAGGGTCTGGTGGGCCCTCCCGAGGGAACATGTTGGGACAGGTGAACTGAACCCCAAACACTTTGAGCTGGTGCGGTTTTCAAACGAAAGAATTCACAGATCTTTCTGCCCCTACACCGCACCTTCCTCTACCCTCTGCTGTCTTCTCCCCTGTCTCCACCCTGCGCCCGCTCCACACTCCCCTGTCTCCACCCCGCGGCCCGCTCCACACTCCCCGCTCCCCTTCAGCTGCCTCGGAGCATCCAGAGTCTCCAGCCAGCAAGCTTGTGGGTGGATTCTGCCCGTTTTTTTTTAAGTTTGGCTTAAAACTTGAGCTGCCGAAGGCAGGAATGGTTTGTTTTTGCTAATGTTTTTGTTGGTTTAGAAAGGAGGAGGGCTCCAGGGTGGTCTGGGATCTTAAGAAAAAAAGACAGAGCTGGCCCTGCATAGATCTCTTTTGTGTGGCCTTCTGGCTCAGCTAATAAGGGTGGGGAGTGAAAATCAGCCAAGATAACGGGCACGACTTCAGCCTCTCTCCCTCCCTTCCTACCTGGCCCCTGAAGGATTCGTCTGTGGCCGTGGGGGCCAGCGGGCAGTAACCCTGGGGGGGCTGGGGCATGCCTAGCTCTGGGCAGCTCCTAGGTGTATTGGAGTGAACTGGCCCAGGAGGGAGGCCTCGGCTCATCTCTGTTGCAGATGGGGACTCTGAGGCTTGGAGAGGGTCCGGGGGGTCTGCTGGGGGCCTGGCCTGAGTCCCTGTGCTCCAGGCCTGCTGCCCAGGGCGTGGGGCAAGCACAGGTGCCACCTGTTCTCAGGAAGCCTGTGTACCTGGGGCCTGCTCTTTCTGGCATGAAGCAACTGATGAACAAGCATGGTTAGCAAGCATGGATGCTCCTTTGGGGGAGCATCTTTCATCACTTTATTTTTCCTTTTTCTTTTTAGTTATTTTTATTGGAAAGGCAGATTTACAGAGAGAAGGAGAGACAGAGTGCTGGTTCACGCCCCGAGTGGCTGCAATGGCTGCAGCTGAGCCTATCTGAAGCCAGGAGCCCAGAGCCTCCTCCGGATCTCTCATGTGGGTCCCAAGCTTTGGGCCATCCTCAACTGCTTTCCCAGCCTGCAGCAGGGAGCTGGATGGGAAGTGGGGCTTCCAAAATGTGAACTGGCACCCATACGGGATCCCAGCACGTGGTTGGGGAGGATTTAGCCACTGAGCCCTCGCACTGGGCCTCCTTCCTCACTTTCATTCCCTTACTCTGGCCCCTAGACTGGCCCGTGCCTCAGGGGTCCCTCCAGCAGACCCCCTTCGGCCCCAACCTGGCCTCTGAGCCCTTGGTTTGATACTGTCCTGGGAGCAGTGTGATCAGCAAAGAAATCTGCTGTTCCCTTCATCATCAGTTTCGCATCCTGGAAGCTTTCTCATTGGGACCCGTCACCTTTATCTGCACAGTGGAAAGCCTGAGGTCTCTGGGCAGGCATCGGCCACCTGCATGGAGGGAATAGAAAGCGCGTTCATGCCCATGGACTGGCAGTGCGGCTGTCTCTCCCGGCCTGTTGTTCTTTAGCTGAGCTGCCGGGCTCCAGCTGCAGGGTCCGAGGGCTGCGGGGGGACCTTGGCCTCCAGACTTGCTCTGTGATTATGGCAGTTTGCCTAGCTTCAGTCTCAGCTGCTCCATCTGTATCGTGAGGATAATCAGCTCCAAGACTTAGAAGTGAGCCTTAAAGGGGCTGGCACTGTGGCTCGACAGGCTAATCCTCTGCCTGCAAGTGCCAGCATGCCACATGAACATTGCTTCGGGTCCTGGCTGCTCCACTTCCCATCCAGCTCCTTGCTTCTGGTCTGGGGAAACGAGAGGATGGATGGCCCAAAGCCTTGGGACTCTGTACTCGCAATGGAGACCTGGAAGAGGCTCTTGGCTCCCAGCTTTAGATCATCTTGGCTCTAGCTTTGCTGGCCCTTTGTCAAGTGAACCAGTGCATGGAAGACCTTCTCTCTGGACCTCTGCCTGGCTCTGTGGTTGGGGTTTGGAGCCCCACATAGTCCTGGGGAGGGGTGGTAGGCTGCAAGGACCAGCTGGGCCGTGGAGCTTGACCTTAGAGGTGGTGAGAGACGCTCCCCGTGGAGAGTAAGGCCACACTGGCAGGCCTGTGTGG